ATAATATTGGATTTATAGATAGAGGTAGTACATACAATCCCTAAAGCCACTAGTACGCATAGCGTTTTGGGTAAGGTCTAGCTGCATACAATAATTTCAGCAACACTAGCCTAGTAATCTGAATTTGTTTGTTGAGAGGCTGTTAATTTAATTATTTTAATTAAGTTTATTTGGTTTTACTGATTCTTATTAGATGTTCCATAGCACATTATGCTATGGTGCACACAAAGCTAGCTAGGTATGAAGGACCATATCTGGGCCTTCAAAGTTCATCCAGTTCAACAGACTAAACATCTGGGGCTGCATCGTTAATTGATGTATTCAACAAATCTAGTGAACTGTATGCTGAACTTGTAACACAATCCCACAGTATGGGATGTTTTAATTTTAATTTGGTTAGGTTATGATTATCTAGTGTTTCATTTTAATTCAGTTTGTTGCTTCAGTCTGGACTAGCAATAATAGTTTATTTTAATTTAGTACTTAGTGTAAGGGCATGTGCTTGTTAGCCTTACCCGAGAGTACAGAGTAACAAAACCCGTTCTTACTTTGAAGAAATCCACAAGGGCCATGACGAGGATTCGAACCTACGTCTGAGAGCATCCAAGACGCTGCCTTAATCCGTTCTTACTTTTTATAAATAATAAATATTTTATAGATCAAAACATCAGAAGCACTGAAGCCAAAAACAAGTAATCTTATTCTAAGTTGGACAATAAGGGAGCCGGTCGGCTGAGCGAACAGCACACTGGACTTGTGATCCTGTGGTCCCGGGTTCGATCCTGGGCGCCGGCGAGAAACAATGGGCAGAGTTTTTTTCACCCTATGCCCCTGTTACCTAGCAGTAAAATAGGTATCTGGGTGTTAGTCAACTGTCACGGGCTGCTTCCTGGGGGTGGAGGCCTGGTCGAGGACCGGGCCCCGGGGACACTAAAGCCCCGAAATCCTCTCAAGATAACCTCAAGAAGTACACCATGGGGTACAATTTCACAAATGGATTTTATTGGAAAACACAGGAATATTTTACAGTAACCATGGGAGCTGACAGTTATGTTACATACAGGATTGGTGAGATTAAGAGGGATACTTTTCAACAAACATAATCCTTAGGAGTGAATTGACTATTGGACTCTCACAAATTCATACATAAGGTCGTCACATTACTTGACACTCTTTTGGTAAAACACAAATATAGCATGGGTTTACACAAGATCCTGACGCTTCAACACTTACACTATGGGAACCAATGTTGATGGGGGGGGGGGGTATATACCACGTGTTAAAGAAATGTCTGAGGTAGGTCAATGAACCAAAATAACAAGACACCATATACACACTATATATATACACCATACAGTATATGCAGAATGACAGACAGTTGGGACAAGTAAAGTAAGCAGGTTATAGAGGTCAAAACCGTCAGTGGTTTCAAAGTGTAATTACACTTAGGTAATTACACTTTGAAACCACTGACGGTTTTGACCTCTATAACCTGCTTACTTTACTTGTCCCAACCGTCTGTCATTCTGCGAAAGTGAATTTTCTTATATTTCTTTGGCAGCTTTGTTTAGTTAGCTTAAATCTGTGACCTCATGTTCTTGAAGTTCCAGGTCTTGGGAATACTGCCTTATCAATTTTATTGATTCCCCATTATCATTTTGTACATAGTGATCATCTCTTTCTTCCATCTTCTAACTTTGGCATATTTAATGCCTCCAACCTCTCCTCATAGCTCTTGTCATTCAGTTCCGGAAGCATTTAGTTTTGTAACATTTCTGTTACATAAATTATGGTGACAATGAACACGGACTAAAAGAATATATATATATATATATATATATATACAGGCATACCTCAGAATACGAGTTTAATCCGTTCCTGGAGACGCCTCGCCTTCCGAAAACTCGCATTCCGAAGTTAATTTCCCCATAAGAAATAAAGGGAAATGAATTAATCCGTTCCTGACTACCCCAAAAACCCCACATCAAACTAAATTTTTATACCTAATTTACCTAATTCATCTAAATAAACCTACAAAACTGTGTTCCAGTTATTACTTACCTTGCTGTCGAGTGCTGTAGGCGTATGGAAGATGGTGAGGAGGGGGGAGGAGGAGAGGAGTTACTGTTTGGAAGGGGAGTCCCCTTCCATAATCACATCACATAACCCCATGCCTTGTAACACTATGGATACCACTTCTCTTTCTAAATTTTTCAAACCAGCCCCTGCTTGCCTTAAACTCTTTCTTATCTGCATCACTCGTTGCAGGGGTATTCTTTAGAAGGTCTTCGTGCAACACCCTGGCTTTCTCACAAATAATGGCCTCCGAAACACTATCACCCCTCAACTCCTTGTCGTGTATCCAAATTAATAACAACTTTTCCACTTCTTCAAGTATTTGTGGTCTTTGTGCCGTTAATGTTCTTACTCCTTTTGCCACTTTAGCACCCATAATCTTATTATTCTTCTTAAGTATAGTGCATATTGTTGATGTGGCTTTGTTGTACTGCCTACAAAGTTCAACAACACGTGTACCGTTCTCATGCTTCCAAATGATCTCTTGTTTCTCCTCTATTGTCATCCTCACATGAGCTTTCTGGCCTTTATCCTTACCACTGGCTTTCTTGGGACCCATGGTGAGATATATAATAACAAATTGTATAGACAAATCACCAAAAATCCAACAAAACACTGAAAATCCGCGAGAAGAATTGATATGGGGGTAGTCACTGAGCGCGAGACAATGGTAAACTGAGGGGCGGCGGGGCGGAGGGGCGACGATCGCCGAACCACCACGCGCTAGGTCGGCCTGTACGCGTATCAACAAACTCGCGTCCCGAAGTAACCCTCGCCTTCTGAGACAAATTTTTGGAGTAAATACTGCTCGCCTTCCGAAAACCTCGCATACAGGGACAATCGCATTCCGAGGTACCACTGTATATATATATATATATATATATATATATATATATATATTTCATTGAATATGACCGCATATTCTGTATTTATTATTTTCTGGTTTAGGGCTTCTATCCCTCTAACTATTTTCTTAGCATCAGGGCTTAATTGAAATAGGAGTTCTCCAAAACTCATTTTCGTACTTTTAAGGTGAAGAAAAGAAGTGATTTACTATAGAGTGTATTACACTTATTTGTATAATTTGCACGACGTTTCGAACCTCCATGGTTCATTCTCAAGTGAACAGATCTTACAATACTAGTTGATTTTATACCCGCATTAGGTCAGGTGATAATACAATGAAGGTGAAAACATGGGGGGATACATAAGGGATAAACATAGGGCTGCAGAAGGCTTATTGGCCCATACGAGGCATCTCCTATCTAAACACAAAGATTAATCCAGTGTAATTGGCCTGTTATGTTGGACATTGTCTTCTGTGTTGGCATCGATATGTTCTTGTCTTGTCCTTACTCTCATGGTGGGTAGAGTAAATAGTTCCGTGATTTGGGTGTTCATGGTAGGTCGCTCTATTCTTATGTGAATTGCCTCAAGAATTTGTAATCTTCTTGAGTCTTGGGTTTTGTCTATTATGCAAGTATTCTTGTTCAACATTTCTCTTGTTAGAGTAATGTCATGGGCTTGTCTCATGTGATTCCTAGGGGCACCAGATTGAAGATGGCATGTCAAACGCCTCGTCAAACGTTTTATCCCTTATGTATCCCCCCATGTTTTCACCTTCATTGTATTATCACCTGACCTAATGCGGGTATAAAATCAACTAGTATTGTAAGATCTGTTCACTTGAGAATGAACCATGGAGGTTCGAAACGTCGTGCAAATTATACAAATAAGTGTAATACACTATAGTAAATCACTTCTTTTCTTCACCTTAAAAGTACGAAAATGAGTTTTGGAGAACTCCTATTTCAATTAAGCCCTGATGCTAAGAAAATAGTTAGAGGGATATATATATATATATCGTACCTAGTAGCCAGAACGCACTTCTCAGCCTAATATGCAAGGCCTGATTTGCCTAATAAGCCAAGTTTTCCTGAATTATTATATTTTCTCTAATTTTTTTCTTTTGAAATGATAAAGCTAATATATATATATATATATATATATATATATATATATATATATATATATATATATATATATATATATATATATATATATATATATATATATAATATATATTTTATTTATTTATTTATTTATTTATTTATTTATTTATTTGGACGAATGTAGTATACAGAAGTTTGCAGGTGACACTTGGCGAGCACTGGTGTGATATCAAGTTGAGTGCAGTGAGAGTCGGTGTTGAATGGTGCAGTACCTCTCAAGCGTCTGTTCTAAACCACTCTTGAAAGTAGACTAATCATTACTCGATTGATTAATAAAGATTAAGCCACCCAAGAGGTGGCACGGGCATGAATAGCCCATAAGATCATTACTCGTTTCTCGATTGCTTATATGACAGCACCACCCCTCATTGTCCTTCCAAGGTTGGAAGGAATGCTAACTGTAGTTAGGGAAAAGATTTGGGTTAGTGCTAATGAGTTTGGAGCGAGTATATTTTTATTGGCATAATCTACTCACTACAGTTGCATGTCTTTGCACCTTCTCCAAATTTGTGGGTGTACTTCTTAGGATATGGGCACCATACAAGCACCTTGGTTGACTGCAAGTGTGGTCAGCTGACATGTGTGGTGGGCTGCTGGTGTGGTGAGCTATTGAGGGTGGTTACTGGATGGGTGTAGTGGGCTGGTTGGTGTGGTGGGTTGGCAGATACAGTGGGCTGGTTGGTGGTGTTGGCCGGCAGGTGTGGTGGATTGACGGGTGTGGTGTGCTAGTGGGTTTGGTAGTTGGTGAGGTGGGGGTGAAATGGGTTGGTGGGTGTAGTGGGTTGATGGGTGTAGTGGGTTGGTGGGTGTAGTGGGTTGATGGGTGTAGTGGGTTGGTGGGTGTAGTGGGTTGATGGGTGTAGTGGGTTGGTGGGTGTAGTGGGCAGCACTGAGGCAGCACTTCCTCAACAGGTGTGTGAACACTGCAGCTACCGGAGTGCTAAGGAGTACAACTGGCAGAACCGTGCTGTCATCCTAGCTGCCGACTACGCCAGCAACGGCATCTACAACTTCGTAATTCCACTCAGAGCGCACTTCAGGTGAGAGGCATCTAAATACTATTACAAATGTATGTATGTAACTAATATAACAACTAAACATACTTTGCAAGAATCAGCATTCATACAGCAGATGCAGTTCATGAACAACATTATAGCTGTCTTGGCTATTTAGTTTTCCTATCAATCTGAGCTAGGGGAGCCGGTCGGCCGAGCGGACAGCACACTGGACTTGTGATCCTGTGGTCCCGGGTTCGATCCCGGGCGCCAGCGAGAAACAATGGGCAGAGTTTCTTTCACCCTATGTCCCTGTTACCTAGCAGTAAAATAGGTACCTGGGTGTTAGTCAGCTGTGACGGGCTGCTTCCTGGGGGTGGAGGCCTGGTCGAGGACCGGGCCGCGGGGACACTAAAGCCCCGAAATTATCTCAAGATAACCTCAAGATAGATCTGAACAATCTTCGACAAATTCTGATCCTTGCTGTATCATGGTGATTTTCAAGTAAATAAATTTGAAATATACCTGTGTGTCTAGAGTGAGTCTGGATACTATTGCTATATATCTTCTATACTATAAATGGAAATGTTTTATCTGTGTGTGTTGGAGGCCGGATACTTAGGGCTGTCCTCGTCTAACTTTGCACCATGATTCCTGTGGGTTACAGTCCTAACATGGTTGGAATCAGAATTGGTGCAAGTGAAATGAGTGCCACTTGACACTAATAGAAACTCCACAACAATTCTTGAAATATTATGTTAACTGGACCTGGGATTATAATTTGTTTAGTTTTCCTTTGTTTTTTCTTAGTAAAGTATAAGATAAAACATTTTGCACTGATGTCTGCAAAGTAAAAAAATATTACTAAATAGGACACAAGGGTGAACCCATAATGATGCATCTACTTGTTTGTGCATGTGACCATTAAGGTTCAGGAAGCATGTACTCTTTAGTACAATTTATTTATTTATATATATACAAGAAGGTACATTGGGTTTATGAGAGTACATCGCATTGATGTTATTACATTCTTGTAAAACCACTAGCATGCATAGCATTTCGGGCAGATGCTACATTGGTTATCTTCGTCATCTCAAGATGATTTCGGGGCCTAGTGTCCCCGCGGCCCGGTCCTCGACCAGGCCTGCTTTTTGTTACAACCCGGTGAGTGTCTTAATTAACCACTACACCACGTGGACTATTAGTTGTACTCTAGTATACGGCTTCAAATCTAGTGCCTTATAATCGTCATACGACTGTTTGAACAATTACTGTCTGGGTTTTTACATGTATGATGCAACTATTGGTATAATAGCTGTATGTGGATGTAATGGAGTTTACCTTGAGCTATGAAAAAAAATTATGCTACCATTTCATGGTTATGTGTACTAGGAGGTAACTGTCATCACATGTGTAATTACGTAAGTGCATGTACAGGAAGAGAGCTATGCTTGTGGTGTCCAGTGTAAAATACATGTACTGTATTATAATTTATTTTACCCAAGTGGCCCAGTTTACCCTGGCCCAAGATTTGCAGTGAATTCTAATTTTTATTTGTTATACACAGGAAAAAGACTTCACTGAACCCAATCATTCTCTTGTTGGAGCGGAGACCTGATGTGGCCTTCCTCGATTCTATCTCCTTCTTCCCGCTCATATACTGGATGCTCGGCTCCATTGACTGGTGAGACAACCCTGTTTGCTCCTGAAACTTAACCACTTACTAAGATGGCATGATCACTGTATAAGCAGTGTAAGGAAGTGTAAGGAAGGGGCCTTTGTGAGGAATGTTTTGTGGTGAATATATGAAATAATGTTTGTGGTAGAAAAAGCCTCTTTAAAACCTCCACCAGATCAGCAACTGCTTATCTAGCAGAGTTTGGCAGGGAGGGGAGGGGGGTTTTGATCAGCAGCTCTTTTTGTAAATTCACTTTCACAGAGTTAATCTGTGATAGTGATCCCATGACGTGGAGTGGCTCAACTTGTACAAATCTCATTCCAAACTTTTGCCCTAAACTAGACATTTTTATCCCCTGTGATTATGGCTCAGAGCATAACAAATTGATTTGATATACCTGTTATATGACAGCTATTTAATATTCAATACAAATAAAGTACAGTTAGAGGGTTAGTTGTATTAAATATAACAGGGGTGCATTGCAGCCTGGATGACCTTTTGAGAGCGGGCATCAACTTAGCGGAGAATGTAGTGGTGGTCAACAAGGAGCTCAACAACTCGGCCGAGGAGGATACGCTCTCTGACTGCAACACCATCGTAGCCGTCCAAACTATGTTCAAGTATGCAACCTTTAACTCCATTGTAACATTCTTCAGTGCGTCTCTTTATCATCAATATGAAAGCATTTTGCAATAACTTCTCAAAAAAATCACTTTTTCCATCTTCAGACCACAAATAAAAAAGGAAATGCATATAAAGTTTCACATGAATATTAATATATTAGTTCATATAAATAAAAAACAAAACATAGAATAAACATTTACAGAAACTGTAATATATATTAAACTAACTTCCTCGGTTTGTTTTTCATATGAACAATTCTTAGAGAAGCAGAGAATTTCAGTGGTATCTCCAGATATTGAATACTGGATTACTGTATGTTTGATAATCTGCAAAGCCAACAAATCTGCATGAAGAGCTTTGAACACAAAGAAATCAACTTCTGACATTATGTAATTACCTGAGTGTAGTTGGACTTGTGATCCTGTGGTCCCGGGTTCGATCCCGGGCACCGGCGAGAAACAATGGGCAGAGTTTCTTTCACCCTATGCCCCTGTTACTTAGCAGTAAAATAGGTACCTGGGTGTTAGTCAGCTGTCACGGGTTGCTTCCTGGGGGTGGAGGCCTGGTCGAGGACCAGGCCGCGGGGACACTAAAGCCCCGAAATCATCTCAAGATAACCTCAAGATAGTTACAGGATGAGAGCTATGCTCATGGTGTCCCGTCTTCCCACCACTCTCATATAACGACAGCATATAGCAAAAGTAAATTTTCTAATGTTTATTATTTTTGGCAGCGTATCAATTTTGTTGATTCCCATTACTATTTTGTATGCAGTTATCACACGGCCTCTATTCTTCTATCTCTAGTTTTGGCAAATTTAATGAGTCTAAACTCTCCCCATAGCTTTTGTCTTTCAATTTCATAAGCCATTTAGTTGCATATCTTTGCACCTTTTCCAGTTTGTTGATGTCTTATCTTTAGATATGGGTGCCATATAATGGCTATATATTCCAACTTTGGTCTCACCAAAGTCATGAACAATTTCTTTAGTATTTCAGCATTTCATGTATAAAAACAATTATGAAATTGTAAAGTGTAGCAAAGGCTTCTCTTGCAATGTGTTTTTATGTGGTCCTCAGGTGATAGTTTTCTGTATAGAACCACCTCTAGATCTTCTTTATCAGAATTGTTTAACACTTGGACTGCACAGCTGTGAACAGCTTGCAACAGCGTTGTGAGCAAGAAACAAAATTTAAAAAAAAAATTCCTTCTAATATTGTTAAAATGCATTCCCTGATTACAGGAAAATAATTACATATTTTGGCCATAAGGCGAGGAAGTGTGGCAAACCACAGGCACTGAAAGAGTACACATCCGAGGCCAGTCTCCTTCAACTCAGCTGTGCACCGAGAGCTACCACAAAGATATTATTAGTTAATTCAATATCCCTTTTTTTAATCTGTTTTTTGCAGTATTATTCAATTGTGTAATTGATGAGCAACACTTGACAAATGGAATTTAATGTGGATACATGCCACATTATGGAATGTGGAATAGGAGAAAATAGGCCAAACACAACCTATAAATTATGTGAAAAGCTTTAACCCTTCCACTATGTGTATCATAAGTGGGATTTTGGTCTGACTGACTGCACGGCACTAATCATTTGTGTGTGTTTTAAAGTACCGCATAAGATTTAAAAGTCCCAAATACACCTGGTTTACATTGGCTTTCTCAGGGCTCCGGTAAACAGACGCCATTTAAGAAAATAGTCATAGGCAACATTCCTGGGTGTGTGAAGGCCTCAATACTGAGTAAGCAGCCAAGACTGGCACTTGTAGAATGAGCTAAGAGCACTTTTGTTCAACTTGTGACCACATCATCACTTAAAAATGCTGAAATATATCTGAAACTGTTGTTATTTTGCAATGATAGTATTATAGAAGAGCCTGACTGTGATAAAGACTGTGTATAATGTTCAGATATCAGTGAACACAATGTTTATGGTGTTCACAGTGTTAGGCAAGAAGCCACAGCACTCTGCCATTGTTTTATTTGTTTTTTAATTCCATATACAGAAGGTACATTGAGTTTAAGTACATAACATTGGTGTTTTCACATTCTTGCAAAGCCACTAACAACCATAACATTTTGGGTAAGTTGCGAGATGAAGCTGAAAAATTACTAAAGGGGCTAGGAAGAAATAAAGCAGTTGGACCTGAAGAAGTTTCACCTTGGGTGCTGAGAAAATGTGCAACTGAGCTGAGCATTCCACTCCAATTAATATTCCAGACATCCTTGTGCACAGGAATCTTAGCAGATGTATGGAAAAAGGCAAACATAGTTTCAATCTATAAAAATGGTAGTCTAGAGGAACCTCTAAATTATAGACCCATGTCATTAACAAGTGTGATAGTCAAAACTAGAAAAAATAGTTAAAGCCAAATTTATTGAACACCTAGAGAGTAATGACATAATAACAGTCAGTATGGTTTTCGAACAGGAAGGTCCTGTGTAATAAATTATCTTAGTTTTTATGATAGAGATACTACAGGAAAGATGGGTTGGGTTGACTGTGTCTATTTGGACCTAAAAGGGGCTTTTGACAGAGTCCCGCACAAGAGGCTGTTCTGGAAACTGGAACATGCTGGAGGGGTGACAAGAAAACTTCTGACATGGATGAAAAATATTCTGACACAGGATGAGGGTGGTAATCAGATAAAATGTATCTGACTGGAGGAGTGTTACTAGTGGAGTACCACAGGGTTCAGTTTTTGTACCAGTAATGTTCATTGTCTACATAAACAATCTACCAGAAGGAAATGCTAAGCTACTAGGGAAGTTAGGAGACCTAGATGATTGTCATGCCCTTCCAATTGATCTAGATAAAATAAATGCTTGGAGTGCCATGTGGCAAATGGAATTCAATGTCAATAAATGCCATATAATGGATTGTGGAATTGGAGGAATATACCACATAATTCATAAATTATGTGGAAAGGAATTAAAGAACTCTAACAAAGAAAGAGATCTAGGGGTGGTTTTGGATAGCAGACTGTCACCAGAGGAACATACAAAGAACATTATGAGAGGACAATATTCTTCACTTTCCAACTTCAGAATTAATTACATTGATGGATTGGAATATGCAGCAGTTGTATTGTGCCTATATCTCAAGAAGTACATCAATAAGCTGGAAAAGATGCAAAGGCGTACTACAAAATGGCTGCCGGAACTGAAAAACAAGAGGTACGAAGAGAGGCTTGAGGCGTTAAATGTGCTAAAACTAGAAGGTAGAAGTGGTGATATTAACCACTAACAAAATAATAGCAGGAATCAATCAAATTGACAAAGGAATTTCTGAAATCAGCAACTTGAAGAACACGAGGCCACAGATTCAAGCTAAGGAAACAACGGTGCCGAAAAAATATTTACAAGTTTTCTTTCGCAGAGTGGTAGACGGCTGGAATAAGGTGAGTGAGGTGGTGGCCAAAACCGTCAGTAGTTTCAAAGTGTTATATGACAGAGTACTGAGAAGATGGGACACCATGAGAATAGCTCTCATCCTGTAACTACATTTGGGTAATTACACAGAGCACAGGGGGATTCAAAAGGAAACAAACATCCACTCTTTCCCCCCCCCCCCACTCCCACCAAAGCATGGGGTTGGTCAGTAGAAAGAGAGAAAGAAAATTGCCTAGGTGGAGAGCCAAGAACTCTGCCATACACACAAAAGAACGGCTTCAACAACAACCATAACATTGCCCTCAACAAACATCAGTGACCCAGTTGGAATTGGCAGGCTTAATTCTCTTAATCCTGAGCCCTGACCAAGCAGCCTCCTCCCCCCTGAAGACCCCAGCAAAAGCTTCACAGAAATATGGCCATGAAGCCCTCAGAATCACAATGGGGATTGTATCAGAAAAAGTGAAGGAGGCCAGCAAAGAAGCCAGGAAGGAGGAAGGAATGCAATCAGCTGAAACAGCTGCAGTAACCAGAGCCCCACCACCTCATATGGGTCAACATTCCTGTAGGGTCTGACCCTGACCAGGGTAAACTAGCAAGACAACAAGCCCAGAACAACAAAGAAGCCACCACACACAAAGCGCCAACCCGTAAGGACCTCGGCAATAAAAACAACACCTAGGAGGTAAAGACCCATCATGGCTGAGAAAATTAAGTACAAGGTACTGTGTAAGTAGGGATTCCTGGAGGCCTCGTCTCAAGAGTGTTTGTAGGAGGCATACATGGAGAGTATTAATAGGTCTGCCCTTATGTTGGCACAATCCATAAAAGTGGATTGGCTTTCTGCATTAATTCTTAGAGGTTTCATGTATTAAAGCAATAATAAGCTCATGGGATATACCATGACCCTTTATTAGTCAAGTATTAATAATTCAAATAGTGGATACTGTTATTGTGTTCTTGTAATGTTTAGTGTTTTTTAAAGTAAAATAAGAGTTAAACTTGTGGTGCAATTTTTGTATTGTTATAAAACATAAATGATTAAAAAAAAATACTTTACAGGTTCTTCCCCAACATAAAGATCATCACGGAGCTGTCACAGTCATCCAACATGCGCTTCATGCAGTTCCGCGCGCGGGACGCGTATGCCCTTCACCTGTCTAAGATGGAAAAGGTACAGCTCTCCCCACATGACCATATTGATGGACCCGAACGGATTAACGAGTCATTGTCACCGGTAACGATCTCGCTGTTGCTGTCATTAGTGTTTGGTCTAGTGTCCATATGTCGTCCCAACCCACCTTAGTCGACCTGACCCAGAACAGCCACGCGTAGCAGTCCATTGCCATAGGTGGCGTCGTGCGTGGTCCGCACCAGTATCACACTGCCGCTGCCCACCAGATGGCCCTCGTACTCAACATCAAACACCAGCCATTCTCAATACAGGGAGCATGATACACACACATCTTCATGTATTGTCTACTCTCTTGCTAATCTTGTTAATTATTTCATTGTACTGTATTTGTATTTTAAATATTTGTGTTTATTATTAGTCTGTAATTAAAACAAAGCAGTCATCTTGTTTACTTAGAAAAGTGTAAAACTATTCAACATATAGTTGGGAGAAGTGTAACAAGTGTTATGGTGAACGTGACCCGAGTCTCCCATGGCGGAGGTAGTGGCCAGCGGGGAGGGTGGAGCAAGTGGCGATAGTATTGGACGGCTCCTTCCCTCCCAGCTCATGTGTAGTCTGTGTGGAGTGTAGCTGGTGCTTGTGGCCGACTTATGGTAGTGTCTCTCACGCTGCCTGACATCACTACACCTTAGAGGGACACTTGCTAGATGACAGATAGACGCCTTATAGTTCTGGACGTTGTAGTCAAATTTTGGGTAAATCTTCAGTTCTCTGAGCTTTAATGATACAGTAATAAAAACCGAGTGCTGTAATTCTGGTAATGATTAAAACTGAAGGTTTGCTCTTTTGAAGCTAGCCAAATATGCTGAAACATTGTGCTCCAGCAGCTTATTATGTATATTGACAAATTACTGCACAGTACATTTTAATACATCCATATTTTATTTTGAAAAAGCCATTACTAGCTTGTGTAAAGGCTTGACTTGTCCTAGTCTTATGGCATTAGTAAACAGAGCTGCAAGATCACAATGGGGCTAGAGAGTGGTAGAGTTAGATGCTGGTAGCGGGTGGGCAGGGGGGCCTGGTGGGGCCTCGGCCTTTGCTGCCTGGCTTCCTCTCGTGTTCCCCCCCCCCCCCCTCACACACCTCCGCTACACGCCCGGGATGCATGAGACTTAAGTGTCTTCAGTCATGTGTCAATCTTTGTATTTGTCATGCTTCCTTCCTGAATGAATTTAGTTGCCATGACAGTTATGTTTCCATTCGTGGAGGTGAGGGCTGCCTGGCTGGCCCACAGATCTCTTAAGGTTTCCTCCACCAAGGAGCACCGGGGAGGAAAGTTGGTCACTGCAGCTCCAACAAGAGTGCCTCAGGTGGTGGCAGGTATTCCTGCTGTTTCAATGTTTCTCATATATAGAATACTCAATCTTAACACATACATTTTCTTTATGCATTCCTTCTTTCTCTGTTATGAATAATTATGATGTTTATATTTTATTTTCTGTACGTCTTTCATTGGTTTACGTTACAATAGACATCTGTGAGTTTTCTAGCCAGCTAGTTGATTTGCTCCAGAAAGGAGAACTTCATATAATTTAGAATTAACTCTACAAGGCAAGGAGAGCTTGGAGAACAGAGATCAACCCAAAATCAAGAGAAAATCAACTTTGAATGTAACGAAAGTCACTTTCTTGTAAACCTCTAGATCTCTAATGCTACAACTTGAAAGCAACCAAGGCTTTAGGAACACACCAGGACCTATGTTCCAGGTTCCAGGTTCCAGGTTCCCTCTGGGAACCAGGCAAATGCAATGTCAAGTACCCGAGGACCCCTACCAGAATTAAATGTCTCAATTCCTGCCCGAAACGCTTTGCGTAATAGTGGCTTTAGGCATTGTATGTACTAGCTCTATCTATAAAGCCAACAAACTTTGTAAAATCTCTTTATGTATGTACCTTACCTAAATAAAAATTATTATTATTATTATTATTATTATTTTTGGCAAAAAAAAAAAAACGAAGCAGAAAGTTGAAGGTGAAGAAAACAAGAACCATGACTCAAAAAATACAAAAAACCCCACTTCTGAAGAAGAGCTTGAAACTTTATATCCAGAATCTATAGCCAACAGAAATGCCGTCTTGAAAAAAGTTGTCCCTATAAAATTGAAGTGAGATTCTAGCCAAGACCCACAGCACCAAAGAAGGAACAATGATCTGCAGATCCAGACTAGGCTTAACCAAGGAGAATCCATGATGAAACAAAGTGGAACTTCTGTCAGCCAACAAGGAACCCAAAACCTATTACTTGAAAATCAAAAAAATCCATGAAGATCCGCTAGTACACAAACAGACCAGTGAAAGAAGGCACAAGTTGTCATCTAAACATAAACCTGCAACAATCCACCTCCCCCCCCCCTCTCTCCTCTCAAAGAAGTGCGCCCCAACCACTGGCCCCTTTAGAGAAGCCAAAGCACATACACTACTCATTGCTAGGTTTCTCGAAGAGCTAACTTCCGAAGGGGCATATTCCTAAACCGTTTCCGATAAGAAAAATCTAGACAAAGGCAACTTTTTCTACATACAGCTGACACAAACAAGTGATCAAGGCACACACAACAGGCTGGCGTGAAAAACGTCTACATGAAGCAGTAAAGAAACAGAGGCACAGGTCACCATGCAGGGCAGAGGCCAAGGGATGGCCAACACTTAGCCGAGTAGTGGTGCCTGCAAAGCCAAAGTAGGCACCATTAGGTGCCTACTCTCCAGGTGTGTGAATGATGAGGCTAGTTTGCCCTAGACCCTTTGGTTACTGATGCTGCTGTCTAGCGACAAGGACGATGAGCTAACTAGTAGTTTGACCTTGATAACAAGTGTGAACATAGTCTAAATTAAAGATGCAAAGGCTGTCCTAGTAGTTGCTAATTTTGGTGTGCTGTACCTTTCTAGTAATTTTCCCTTTGGTAATGGGGCTGATCTAGTTTCTCCATTTCCGTGTGCCTCTAGTAAGGGAGGCCAGATTCTGGTTCTGGCCTCCAGTAGTTGCTTGTAACTTGTTAGATCCTGGTGTGGTATTTGGGTTTGGCCAAAGATAGCATCAGTTTTTTTTTTGTCCATCATTTAGCCTATGAACTATATCAAACATAGTAAAGTTTGATAAGAATCGAGATATACATGTTTACCTGGAGGCTCGCCTTTGTAGCTTCCAGTGGCTTGTGTTCTTAAGAAGAGAACCATTTTAAGACAGTATTCATAACTGGTATTCAGGACCAGAACCTGGCGCTCTCTGTTAGAGGAGCTTTGGAATAAGAGTGTGACCAAAAACCAAGGACAACCCACCAGACAGGCAAGATAAAACTACTACTGTACTTCAACAAGAAATTTTTTTTTAATTCAAGAATAATAACCAAATTATTCTGGGTCCTGGCTTGCCACCCTCCTCGCTCACTTGCCTGATGCAAATGTAGAGTGCATCATTTCAGCTAAGATCCTAGGAGCTGCTCTTATTTCAGCCAGGTGGCATTGCTGATCTCTGAAACAGCAGTTCTACTAGGGTCTATTTCTATATTTTTTTCCCATTTGTGTTTTACAGTTGCTTCGTTCCCACATTGTGTGTTCCTCTAATATTTTGCTCCCGCTGTGTGCCAGGCTTGTATTTTCCTGCTTCACCAGACCTCCAGGTAGTGCATGGGACTTGAAGTAGTTAACTGTGTATTTGTGCATAATTTGTGTTTGGTATAGACTCTTGTGCATTGTTTTTGCCTTGCACTTTGGTTGGATATGCAGTAGCATTACTTAAGTTATTCTTTATTATCTTGGGCTTTGGACACCTTGTCTCGCCATGCTAATTGGCTCGGGGTTACTTATGTGGTTTGCTAATACCCTTCCCTTGTGCATGGTATGCCTGCCTGTTTATGAAATGGTCTGGGCAGCAACTAACTATTGTGTCTGGGATGTTTACCTCATTTGTCGGTTTGCTGTGATGTGGATTTTCTCTGTCTCTCATTATACTGTAATTCAGTGTTTTGGAGTGCCATTGATTATGCCTGTATGTACTGTCCTACCACTTGTTGGATGTACGGCAGCCCTTGTGTCGGCAGCTGAGGGCATCTGCCCTTGTGTCGGCAGCTGAGGGCATCTGCCCTTGTGTCGGCAGCTGAGGGCATCTGCCCTTGTGTCGGCAGCTGAGGGCATCTGCCCTTGTGTCGGCAGCGGAGGGCATCTATCCTTGTGTCGGCAGCCGAGGGCATCCGCCCTTGTGTCGGCAGCCGAGGGCATCCGCCCTTGTGTCGGCAACTGAGGGCATCCGCCCTTGTGTCGGCAGCCAAGAGCATCCGCCCTTGTGTCAGCCGTTGTCGGCATCCGCCCTGTTTTCTTGATAGGCAACCCTGCTACATTATTGCTCCTGCATAATCTCTGCTGGCCATCCACCACTATTGTTCCTTCTCTGGCTATGGTTTAGCATTTCTCCATGTTTATTGGCCTTCCCTGTTGATTGGGGCATAAAGTGTGATTATGGCGGCTGGAGCCATTCCCATCCAGAATTCTGACAGTGGCCTTGAAGCCTACATTTCCTAACACATTCTCCTGGTTTTGTGGTATGTTTTCCTAGGTACGGCTTCATGTCCTGTGGCTGCCGCCTCTGTGTAGACACTATCGTATGAGTTCATGGAGGTGGTGCTCTGCCTTATGTGGTCGATGCTCTGCTTCATAATTCTGGCCTTGTCCAAGTCCGTGATTGGAATGTCTTCTTCTACGTGATTTGCGATGGTCTTCTTGGTGTGGAGTGGGTTGGCATGTTTTCTGCTTTGGTACTTGTCTAGACCTTTGCACTTTTGACGGGTTATTTTCTCTTCCTATGCCTTTGGGTCTGACCTGGGGTATCTTTTTCTTCGTCTGCTCTCTAGTGGCCACATTTCAGTCCTGGTCATACTCATTGGGCAGTCTTTTGGTGCTCCTGTTTCCTGATTGACTCCATGAGCTGGGAAAGAGAGTTAGATAATGCAAACTTGAAGCAGAGCCTTGAAAAAATAGGCACAATAG